TATTGACAACGGGTGTGTGTGTGTGTGTGTGTGTGTGTGTGTGTGTGTGTGTGTGTGTGTGTGTGTGTGTTGGGTTTTGGGAAAGAGGAGTGGGAATGAAAGATAGATCAGCTCCATTTGCAGAATAAAGACTAGTTTTATGGTAGACTCTGTGCTATTGACAACGGTGTGTGTGTGTGTGTGTGTGTGTGTGTGTGTGTGTGTGTGTGTGTGTTGGGTTTTGGGAAAGAGGAGTGGGAATGAAAGATAGATCAGCTCCATTTGCAGAATAAAGACTAGTTTTATGGTAGACTCTGTGCTATTGACAACGGGTGTGTGTGTGTGTGTGTGTGTGTGTGTGTGTGTGTGTGTGTGTGTGTGTGTGTGTGTGTGTGTTGGGTTTTGGGAAAGAGGAGTGGGAATGAAAGATAGATCAGCTCCATTTGGGTGGTGAGCATTATCAGTTGCTGAAGGAACCATGGAAGGGAAGAAAGTTTGTATGTGCTGATCAATAGGAGTTCATTTGAGTCAGGTTCAGTTTAAGGTTTCATGACAGATAGCTAGCTAGCCATATTCTTTTGGCTCTGGCGTTGGAAGAAAGATGTGGCAATAGAACGATTATTGCTTAAAGCAAATACCTAAGTGAAAACAAAAAAGAATGTCTAGGGAGAGCACCAGTGAAGACTGACATCAAGAAAAGAGGCTGAGAACACATGCGTAGCAAGTTAGTGGGCACATGGGAGAATGTGATGGTAGTGATCAAAACTTATTTCTAACTCTTCCATCCACGGCACTCAGTTCTTCCTGCCTGCATGTTTATCATGCCCCCATAGGTAAGGGAAGATGAAATCTTCTGGAAGATTTCTGCAAGATATTGGTTTGGGTCCCTGTTCTCCTTCTCGTTTTTGAGCATCATTGGACATTCAGGTTTTTCTGAGAACTTAATAGTCCATCCAGTCAATCCCTGGAATTTACAAATAGGAAAAACAGTATCTTGAGAATGGGTGGTACTTGTTCAAGGCGCATCTAGCAAGTCACTAGTCGAGTTGGACCAGGGCGTAGGCATCTTTCCCTTGCCTGGGGCTTTAGACCTCAGGACTGACTCTCTACAGTCGCTGCAAGGACTATTCTAGGTTACTTTCCCATCTGTAAGTGTCTTGTCTAAAGAGTCTGGGCAGTCTGAAATGTGAAATCCTGTCTTCTGTATTGGTTTTAGAAGATGTGAACAAGTTAGTAGTCTGGCAGCCCAAATGCTTCTTGGGTTCCCAAAAATAGTGTTGTGCTTAACAGTATCTTCAGAAACAAAGGTAGGGTGGGCTGCAGATGTTGTAGGGCTCTCCTTTTCATGAGCTGGGGAGTTCAGCAGGCCAGGCTTGGGGAAGGGTAGAAGTGGAGGGAAGTCCTGAGGCCCTTCTTTGCCTGAAAGTTTCAAGGTTTGTTTTTTTGTTTGTTTGTTTTTTTGTCGTGGGGCTTGAACTCTGGGCCTGGGCGCTGTCCCTCAGCTCTTCAGCTCAAGGCGAGCGCTCTACCACTTGAGCTACAGCGCCACTTCCGGTTTTCTGGTGGTTTATTGGAGATAGGAGTCTCATGGTCTCTCCTGCCCGGGCTGGCTTTGAACCGCGATCCTCAGATCTCAGCCTCCTGAGTAGCTAGGATTACAGGCGTGAGCCACCAGCGCCTGGCTAAGTTTCAAGGTTTGTGAAGGTGAGCCACTCCGCTCCCTTATTGCCCAACTGGTCCTTGTTAATTATCCCTTCCAGATTTGCTGAGTTGGACTCTCTAGGGGAGGGGACTGAGATTCTATATTTGTACCAATTGTCTGAGGAGATTCTGATGACAGGATTTGGAAAAACTGATCCAGGGTAACCACTGACTTAGTCTTGGAGGACTGTGCTTAGGAAGCTGAGGGCATCCTGAAAAGTTTGGGATGAGTCAGTGACAGTCTTGTGAAGGATAGAGCTGTGAGGCCCTTGGCCTCCCCAAGGGTTGTCAAAGAGATTGAAAGACTGTAGTTCAATTGATGTCAGACTCTCATTTCAAAATTTGCCAGTTTGAAGAGACAGAAAAGAGCATTTCTGGCAAAAGGGAAGGTGTGGACATACATTTGTAGTTTATAATTATGCATTGGGGACAGTTGACTGGAAGGCTGTGTGGCCTAGCTAAGGCCACACAGCCCTAGAGCTATTGGAGGCTTTTAGCAGGAAGGCGGTATGACCACAGCTGTTGTATCAGAAGAAAATGAACTAATGGGGACGGATCCTGGGATGAAGAAACTGGATAAATGATGAGGGAGGGATGATGTGAGGAGTGTCCTGGGGAGGGAGAGGAGGCAGCAGCTGCTATACCATGCCTGCTGCCATGCAGCAGGTGAAGCAGGATTATTGCTTCACTTTCTCAGGCGGTTCTCATTTAAGAGAGCAAGTGGCTCTAGGGCTCCTGGAGCCACTCACCAGCGTGTTTCAGGTGAACTTTGATCTGTGCCTGTGCTTCATGTTCTCAGCTGTTCTGTAAGATCTTTTCTTCGTTCTAGTGGTCAGTGTGAAGGTAAATACACTACAGTAGCAGTTCTAAAAGTGTGTTCCCTGACAGAATGGTTTTATAACCAGTGAGTTTGGGAAATGATGAGTTAACAAAGTTAAAGGAGTTTTGGGGCTGGGAAGATGGCTCAGTGGTAAAGTGCTTGCCTTGCATACTTGAGGCCCTGGGTTCGATTCCTCAGCACCACATAAGCAGAAGAAGCTGGAAGTGTTGCTGTGGCTCAAGTGGTAGAGCTCTAGCCTTGAGCTGAAGAGCTGAGAGACAGCTCCTAGGCCCAGAGGTCAGGCCCCACAACCAATTTAAAAAAATAAAAAAGTTACTTAGTGCTAGGAGCTGGTGGCTCATGTCTATAATCTTAACTACTCAGGAAGCTGATCTGAGGATCTTGGTTTGAAGACAGCCTCACCCTCCCTCCCCCCCCCCAAAAAAAAAAAAGTAAAAGGAGTTTTGTGACCACAATCTCTCAGTGCCTTTGCTATGTGTCTCCTGTGTAAGATTGAGTATGTGGGGTTCCAGCTCTGATTTGACCAAAGGTTTTTGTTTTGTTTGTTTTTTAAGTCAGCCATGGAGCTAGACCACAGGGCCTGGCACTGTCAAGGCTAGTGCTCTACTACTTTGAGCCTCAGCTCCACTTCTGGTTTTGGGTTGGTTCATTGGAGGTAAGAGTCTTACAGGCTTTCCTGCCCCAGCTAGCTTTGAACTGAAATCCTCAGATCTCAGCAGTCTGAGTAGCTAGGATTATAGGTGTGAGCCACCTGTTCCCAGCTCAAAGGCTATGTTTTCTATTGCACATCTTGTTGAGTCTTCTGTTTCCTGGAACCATTTGGAAAAAATCTGAAGTGCAGGGAGTTCTTGGCTCTGTCCCTGACTCCCTTGTGTGTGCCTGGACTGCTCCATGTGTGCCGCATGCCCTGAATCTAGATCTTGACCATTTCTTTAAATCTACTATCCATATCTCATCAGTTTTTCTTTTTTTTTTTTTTTTTTGGGTCCGGCTGTGGGGCCTGAACTCTGGGCCTGGGCGCTGTCCCTCAGCTCTTCAGCTCAAGGCTAGCGCTCTACCACTTGAGCCACAGCGCCACTTCTGGCTTTTTTCTTTTTGCTTTATGTGGTACTGAGGAATCGAACCCAGGGCCTCATGCATGCAAGGCAAGCGCTCTACCACTAAGCCACCTTCCCAGCCCCTCTCATCAGTTTTTCTGTAAGCAAAATATTCTTACTGATTCCTTCTCCTATTTGGCTCCATGTTCTTTTAGGCCAGAAACATTGGAGCCATCCCTGACTAATTCCATCTTTATCCCTTTGTTGCTTTACCCCCTACTATATTTTTTGTGCTGGTCCTGGTGTTTGAACTCAGGGCCTGGGTGCTGTCCCTGAGGTGGTTTTTTAGGTCAAGGCTAGTGCTCTACCATTTGAGCCCGCAGATCCACTTCCAGCTTTTTGGTGGTTAATTGGAGATAAGAGTCTTGTGGAATACGGGTGGACCCATTACAACAATGAGATGTACAAGTTGTTATGTTGAAAAATGAACTTTACAAATTTGGTGGGGTGTGGGGGGGAGGATCAGGTGGGGGGAAGGGGGAGTATGGGAAGGGATGGGAAGGGGAAACAAAGAGGAGGCAACAATGCTTGATAAGAAATGTACTCATTATCTCGTCCATGTAATTGTAACTCCTTGGTACGGTATTCTCACAATTAAAAAATAAATGGAAAAAAAAAGTGTCTTGTGGACTTTTCTGCCCTGGCTGGCTTCAAACCTTGATCCTCAGATCTCAGCCTCCTAAGTAGCTAGGACTACAGGCATGAGCCACTGCCAGCTGGCACCGCTTACTTAACTATTTTTTAAAATGTTCTTTCCAGTTTCATTTCTTATCCCCAGTCCCCCAGGGTCTTATTGCTTCTATCCTTTCCACTGAAGTTTGGTTCAGTTCTGTATCAGGTCCCTACTGTTTCCCATGACTTTCTGGTTTGAAGCCCACTTCCTCCACAGTGCTAATCTCTACTTTCCACCCTCCCCCACATCCCTTTCCCCAGTTAGGATAAATTCAAAGAACTGTAACCTTTTACATCTCTGCTGGTGGCAGAGCTAGATCGCAGCCTCAGAATTTCTAAGAAAGTGCTTTATCATCTATGCTCACTGATCTTTTACAATAGCCTGTCACAAAAGCCATTTTATAGTGAGTTGGAGAGGTAGAGTCTAGGGTAGAGAGAGTTTCATATAGGAACCAGTCATTTTAGTTGGCCCAGCACTGAGGGTCTAGAATTTAGGACTTTCAACACTGTGGTGTTTCCTGATATGGTCACTTTAGTGCTGGACATGGCACCCAGTGCTGGGCCCAAATGCTTTTTGCACAGCTATGCTACCCTCCTCCTCATTACCCCTGAAAAGAAGATAGCTCCTTTGTAGCTGTGACAGTCATCTTGTGCAGACAGAGTGATGCATCCTGTGACTTCCTAACTTTTCCTTCCTTCCTTTTCTCCAGTTGGCCCCATGATGATTCAGTTTAATTTTCCTGTGGATCTGGATCTTTTGGCAAAACAGAACCCTGAGGTGAAGATGGGTGGCCGTCACAAACCCAAAGACTGCATCTCTCCTCATAAGGTGGCTATCATTATTCCATTCCGCAATCGGCAGGAGCACCTCAGATATTGGTTGTATTACTTGCACCCAATTCTGCAGCGTCAGCAGTTGGACTATGGCATCTATGTTATCAACCAGGTGAGGTCTGGGGAGATGCAATGAGGAAGGGAGAGTATACAAATTGTGGAAAGGGGAGGGGAGTGATTTCATAGATACTTGACCAACAGGGCCACCCTTATTTAAACTGTGGATGAACTAAATGCCAAACAATGTGCTTGCCTGTTACTATCTGCTATCATCCAAGGAAACTTGCTAGGGTGGGTTTTGATGTCTTTCTGTTTTGGTAGTCTTCTGGCAAAATTGAGAGAGAAAAAAAAAAAAGTCAACCCTAATTAGCCCACAGCAAAGCATGGGTTATTTCCTGACTTTTAGGTAACATCAAACAATTTGTCTTATCCTTGTCTTCTGGGGCACCACAGGAGGCCATATGCTGGTGAAATGTCTGGAAAGTTTGTTTCAGAGGCAATTTGAGAGTTGTGTATATTGAGCTGTGTCTGAGAAGAGTTTCCCACTCCATAATTATCTGATCCATGGCACATTGGGCTTTGGCTTTGCTAAGGGAACTAATGCCGGAGTCTTGCAAGCTTTCATCACTGCTCTGCAGAATCAGACTGATTTCATGAATTAACTTTGTTTATTCCAGTTTACTTGAGGGACATTGTTACTTTCCCAAGAATATAACTTTAGTATTTAGTTTATCCCAATTACTTAAATTTGGAATAAACTTAGGTACAGTGACATGTACCAAATTTCATTGACACTCATTTGAAGAGACAAAGTATGTCCTTTTGTGCATTGCTCCCAAAGTCTACTTCATTTCAAGATAGACTCTGAGTCTGCTGGAAGTAGGAAGACTATTGATAGTTTACTGCTTCCATCAGAGGCTTTTGTGTTCCTTTCATAGGTCCACAAGGCAAGTTAGAAATAGCAGTCTATCCATATAGCATTCTGAGTAGTGGTGGGGCACAATACTGCTGGAGGACCTAAAGAAATGCAAGGTCCCAGTATTATCTATTTGGAAGCTTCCAGTCAAATTAGTGCAAGTGGAACTTGCTTACATCTGGGATCATTTTCTTTTTCTTGTTTTTGGTCTCTAGAACTGAAGAACTGGGGATTGCACCCAAGGGCCTCAAACTTGCTAGGCTACTACTTAAGCTGTACCTGTTCCTTTTGTTATTTTTGTTATTATTAATCAGATAGGGTCTTGATCTTTTACCTAAGCCATCTTCCTCATATTTATGGTCCTTCTATCTCCACCTACTGAATATCTAGGATTGTGCACCACCACATCCAACCATCTTTTTTTTTTTTTCTCTTCCACAGGCTAACATTTTATCTTACCAGAATTTTTACATTTTTTTTCTTTCCTCTTCCCCAGCTAGTCTTCCATTCTAGTTTCACCAAAATTAGCCTTTTGGAAAAATAGAGTCCACATAAGTCAAGAAGCAGCTTCAAGTCTTACCTTTTCAGTAAAGAATATAATCTAACACAATAAAGTGATTGTAGGGACTTGAACCTTGAAAAGAATTGCCCCATCTCGAATACACCTTATCTACATATTAGGAACTTGGTGTGTTCTCTGCTTTGTAACCCAACTGTAGAAGACAAAGGGATTTTTATACTTGGTTTTGACTTTGTGCATAATTTGTTGAGCAAGTAAACCTTAAGAGCCACTAGCCTCAGTAGAGTTCTTCTTCCTATGCCACATATCTTGTGCTTCCCCCATTTGCAATTTGAAAGAATGCTTAAAATAATAGTGCCTTCCAAAACATCTAGTCCAGAGGTTCCAAAACAGATTTTTAGTACAGAAATATTTGTATCTCATTGAAATGCTATATACATAGTCCCAGTTTACAATAGGTCACAATGATGTTATTCTACTTAAAATGGGGGCCATGCCCCATTTCTATATTATCAGTTTCCCTGCAGCTCAATCACTAACTCCTGACTCCAAAGTGTCTCTTCACTATATCACAGTAATTCTGCTGCTTGAGGCTGTTGAGCTTCTCTCTGAGGTCTTCCACACAGTCTGACGTCCATGGCTGATGTGAGCTTTATGACCTGGCTTTTCTGTTTCCTAGTTAGTGACCTTAGGCAGGCCATATAAGCACTTCAGACTTCAGTTCCTTCCAAGGTAGAAGAGGAAGTATAATATCTCCCTTAGTGGACTTCCAAGCATCTGGTAACATGTTAACCTTGAGTAAACATTAGCTATTACTACCATTATTTAGGTCTTTCCTCTCTTACACTCCATTCTTCCTATCTTTTGCTTCTGTTCAATACTGTAATGATAAATTCTTTTTTTTTTTTTGGGAGGGGGGGTCCAGTCGTGGGGCCTGAACTCTGGGCCTGGGCGCTGTCCCTCAGCTCTTTAGCTCAAGGCTAGCACTCTACCACTTGAGTCACAGCGCCACTTCTGGCTTTTTTCTTTTTGCTTATGTGGTGCTGAGGAATCGAACCCAGGGCCTCTGGCATGCAAGGCAAGCACTTTACCACTGAGCCACGTTCCCAGCCCCTATAATGATAAATTCTTTACTGCTCTTCCTCCCTCCTGCTTCTCCCTGATTAATTTTTCTCTTTATCTCATTGTAGAGGTTGGGGGTTCCATGGAATCAGAGGATAATGAATAATGGTGTGAGCTAGATAATGGGATCTCAGAGGACTCAAGGACCATGTGTTGACTTATGAAATTCTTCTTCAGGGGGTTGTGTCTTAAGCCCCATACACAGGAGTGAACTCTCACAGGTTTTTATGGCTCATACTGTCCATAGGAAGCTGTTAACCACACTATTCAGTGTAGGCCTGGCGCCTATAACAAAATATTTCTCAATAGCTGCCATAACAGCTTTTATCTCAAAATATGTGTGCTGGAAGGGTGAGTGGAAGGGACTTTACCAGTTGAGAAGGAAAAGAGCAAGTGTGGCTTTTTGTCCTCTAGATCACCACCCTTCCTCCTACCCTAGCATATTGGTGTTTATGGATCCCATTAGGGCTCTAGTATATCCCACTTTTACAGCTAAGTGTTCTGTGTTCCAATACCCCACCTTGAGTACTAAGACCTTGGTGTAGAGGTGGATGTCAAGGTATCATAGCAAATGGGTAATGTACTTTGTACTTCCTCATACTGCAGTCCAGAAAGGAAACTGTAAAGTCACCCAAATGTCAGGAAGGCAGACTGCTACCTGTCAGCGTTAGCCCTAAATAAGGAAATGTAAAATGCTTTAAGAATTATCATAATTTCATAAATATAGAATTATCATACTATAAAACAAGGAGGCATACAGACACCGCTTGCCAAGTATAAGTGTCTCATAACCATGGTACGCCTTGAACCAGAGCCAGCCACCAATAGCTATTTCTCCATCCCAGATTTTCTGGTGCTTCTGGTCTCCTTACTTAGCTGTCTAAGATTCTTCTAATTCTGATCACATCAGTACTTCTCTTTAAACCCTTTCCCACTGCCCATGGGCAAGGACCTCAGATGCTAAGCCCTGACCTTAGTATTTGAGACCATCTGAGGTCTGATCCTGACCTACCTCCAGACATTTGCCCTTTCTGCCTGCACTCTTGCTTATGTGATCACTTCTGCCTTCTCTGTGGCTTTTTTCTGAACATCTTTTAAACCTTTTCTCCCATTTCATTAGTTCCGTAGAGCTGGAGTTGTGGAACAGAACTGAGTTTTTCTGCTGTTCCCAGATCACATAGTGCTTTCCAACAAGTAATAATTACCTGTATGCCTCATTCTGGTCCCTGAATTCCCAGCCCTTCAAGCCAGTTCCTTCCTACCTCTCGGTCCTTGCAGCTCATATATATTCACCTGATTGAAATTTTGAACTTGGGGCGTCTCTCTGTGACTCCTGTCTGTTTTATTTACACCCGCTTTCAAGACCTCTTGCTCCTGGTCCTCTGGGTGAACTTACGGCTCTTGAAAGTAAAATATTTTTTTTTTGGCCTGGCCATATGACCTTTGGGAATCTGCACATCTTCTCTTTGGGATCTCTTTGTAAAGCTTCCTGCTCAGTGTGACCAAGGTACACACTTCCTCTGACAACTTTTTCAGGGGAAAAAAGTGAATAACCAGTTTAGCCTTCTGGTTATTCATAGACATAAAACTCATTTGTGATCTTTAGATTTTGGCCAAGTCTTCCAGTGAGGACTTCTCATCATTTTTGCTGAGGGAAGGCTAGACATAAGTGCACAATGGCCAGTAACAGAGCTGGCACATAGACAGAAGTTACCTTGGCTCTCAGGAATGGTCCATTTTTCCATGTTTATTCCCAGAATGGTCCATATGCCCTTGCCTATACCATGAGTCTTACTAGGTCACAAGAGAGGAACTGTAGCTTTTGATTAATAGCCACAGAGCCCCTGGGAGCCTTGTCTGTTTGGTATGCTGCCAGGTAGACACACTGACCTAAAAGGCTGTGGGGAAGCAAAAGGAGGAACCAACCATCTGTCACCACTGTCCAGGAGTCAAGGTGAGTAGGAGAAGGGGTAACGTTTAGGTCTTGTTGCTTCATATTTTCGGAGTATTTTGTAAGCATCTGTGGAGTACAAATTTTCTGATATGGAAGTTGGACAGAAATGATACTTTCCTCCTATTTAATTAATTAAATTATATATTAACTAATTAATTTTGGTGCCTATTCAGGAGTATTTACCTGATTTAACTTTTTTTCTTTCCTTTTCATTGGTGAAGTGTTTAAGGATTATAATGTGATAGTTCCAGGCTCCTTGTTAATTGTTTTTTTGGATACAGTCCTTTGTATTCTCAGTGAACAGAAGTATCTGGCCCCACAGCTTAGATGCTCTCATTACTAGTCTAGGCAGATGGTTCCTACATGAGGTCAGGATCATTTGGAGTAAAGCAGACCAGTGGAACCACATCATTAGTGAGGATGGCTGCCTAGGCCTTTGCCCTACTGGTTGGGTTTTTCTCTGATCATCTATGTGCTACCCCTCCCACCTCTCACCCCCAACACTTTTACTTTTATTTCTTCTTTCAGCTACAGATGCGTGTGAGGATGGGGTCCGAAGGGGGTATTGTTGATCTATACTACCCTCCCCTTCCTTTGGCC